ATCAGACTATGCATTGAAGATTGAGATTGAAAATTAAAGATTGAAATTTCACCAATGAGGACAAAGAAATTCTGACTCCTTTTATTCTGATTGATCAAAAAAACTTCAATCTTTCAATCTTCAATCTCATTTTTCAATGCGTAGTCTGATTCCGGCCTCACTCAAACGCATTCATCTGTCCTTATCTAACATATTGCAACGCCATCTCTTAGAAAGATCAACTAAAATACTGCTCGGTTTCATGGCTAAACAGTCATACATCGTCGATTTCTCACGCGCTAGAAACACAATTTCGTTCCTTGCGCTAATCTTTTTATTTAGGCGTCAAAACAAAATTCTAAAGATACGACTGTAATCGTCTATTTATTCTACATGCGCTCCTGCCCTAATTTCGAGCATGTAACGTGCATATAATTTTTCCGGCCTGAGACACAACGATATATAATAAGGATAAGAAATGAATGAAAGATGTCACCATTGTCGAATTTGGAATTTAAAAAAGTCTGTACTATCGACCTTGATTAACTTCGACCGTCACTCCAGCATCCCCTTAAGATCGAAACGTTTTTTTTGTATTCTTTTTATAATATATTATTTTCGCCTCTGACAACCGGCGTAGTGGTTAATTACATTCCGATAAGAGAACGTTGATAAGAGAAATTCATTAATAAAAAGGATATAACAAATAAGCAAGGATCAAGTGTATAATTAATTTGCATGCATTGACGTCTCGAACGCAACTTGTCTCTCAACGTTTTTAGAAGATCAGCTCAATGGCAGTGAGTCTCTTCTTTCTAATATCGATTATTCACTCGATCAGCTGTTTAAAAGAGCGCGAAATAGTGGTTTATAATACTTCCAGAGACGCAACAATATACATATACACGGGATAATTTATTTTAATATTAACAGGCAAATAATTCGAAAATATGCAATTATATCAAAAGATATTCCAAATAAAAGTTGAATGATATAATAGGTGACGCCTCTTTCATACAATTTTTATTTGAAACGTATTTTGATAAAATTATATATTTTTGAAATATTTACCTGTTAAAATTAAATCACCCTGTATGTTATAGTGCATAGCGCGCATCTGTGATATCTAATATTTAAAAAAATATATAACTAATAATAAATGTATACACATAAACCACATTGTATATACTACTATACTAAGGTATATTAAGATATAAATAATTGCTCACGCGATAGAGATTAATGCTCAGCGACAATACCCCTAAGGGCAATAGCAATGAATATGGCCATTCAAAACTTTTTTTCACCATTTTGACAAACCTTAAATAGCAATAAATCTTAAATACACATAGAAAATGTATATTCACATAAATAATTATAAATTATAAATAACTTATATCTGTCAGGTATATGCTAATAATTCATATTCTTCATAAAATTTTGCAGTCTATACACTTGGAAAATTAGAAGAATTGAAGATAAATCGTAATATACAATAAAAAACTTCTAATCATATATACGACAATTATATACGAACTCGATTGCTTTCTTGTACATATTAAATCCACTGATTATCCCTTGACATATTATTGAACTTCTTTCGATAGAAGATGCAGTACCTTCTAATCTATCTATGAGCAATGCTTGTTCTATGCGGCAGCTGAAATTGATAACGTAACTGCATGTTTGCAAACGCTGTTAAAATCAATTCAATTTCTTGAAGAATGTAACTTTGTTTCACCTGGCTATTTCAAATAAACCACAAGCATGTTGTATGTATGACATAGCAAGCGTTTCAGTGGCTATCACTGTGGTAAAAGCGCACATGGCGCAAAGACATACTGTCAACAAAATTGGAAAAAAATACTTTTGCTGATCTATAAAACATTCCATTAGAATTGGAAGTTGTCGTGGACGGGATTCATTTTTATTGAATGTGATATCCAAAAGAAAATTTGATAAAAACAGTATCAGAATGAAGCAAAAAAGAAGTACGTAGATGAACACTGTAATTAAAATCTGAAGTAATTGATTTTCAAATATTATACTTACAAAAGAAATATTCAAGATATTGCTTACAAGTTGTAACCAATGTGATGTATCTTCCAAAATCTGCATATTCTTTTATTATTTCAATTTCTTGTACGTTATTTAATTCACTCCAATCACAAAGTAATCGTTTCATAAGGCCTCGAATCTGTATTTAACAATAACACAGTTATTTATTACTTTTTCTCAAAAGTATCTCTCCAATAAAATTGATTTAATAATAAATTATCATTTACTTTTTTTTTATAAGACTGATATTGAATGTTCTTACCCGTCTTATGTTTAAGCAGGTAGCATTATATTTTAATGTATAGGCTAGCCATGGAATGATATATGTGAGAATATGTAGAAGAATATCTACATTGTATTCTGTTGTGATAAAAGTCATTAGCTAAAAATGACATTTTCCATTTAAATTATTTCTACTTTTACGTTAATAACAATTATTTAGTTAGAATAGCTTTAAAGGAATTATTCGAAATATAAAATACAAACAAGAATTTGTTTTAATATTAATAAATTTATTACAATTTTTTGTTATAATTTAATGTTTACAATAAAAAGGAAATATATTCTTTTTTTTAGTGACAATAATTATACAATAATTAATGTCTTTTAGTGTACTTTGTTTTACTAATCTTGTCATTAAACTGTATATGTATAAAGAAATATAATATATTATAGGACCGTATATGTGATAACACAAAATATAGAAATCAAAGTCTTAAACGGTCTAGCTGGATTTTAATGCTTGTATGATTCTTATGTGAATTTATATACTACGTATGTAGTCCCCAGAAACGCGCGCCGAAATGATTTTTCGGTCTTGAAACGCTAGCTCTATATTAAACTACGGCAATAATATCACGAGTTAAATTGATTGGAAATTTAACAATTTTTGATGCTTATTCGCATATTCGAAACGATCTTAATAATGATGAATAATATATTAAAATCTGTAAATAATTAATTCTTATTGCGAAAAATATTACCTCGGCCAGAAGTCGAACCCGGATCTCTTGCATACCGTGCGAGCGTCCTAAGCCTTTAGACCACCGAGGCCTTAGTAGGGTAAACTCGGGTATGATGGCCATAGTTTTTTAAAATGCAAAAAACATACATTTATTGTTACTTTTTAACAATATTTGGGATATTACTTTCACTGAAGCTTAAAGTAACAAATA